TGTTTTGGGGCTAAACCATACATTTTTCATTTTTCCTTCCTTTGCTACCTGGAGATTGTGTCTGATGTTGGCAGCTCTGGAAAGCTTCACATCCTCTTCATCAAACGCCAGTGCTGTGTTTAAAGATGGCGTTATTTGAATTAAAGATGTTTTTTTAATCTCTTATCCCTAATGCAAAGCGCTGCTGTGTTACCCTGGTGGTAAACGATGCTCTGCGGCTCGGGGGAAGGTTTGGGCCCATGGCTGTGGTCCTGAGCACGGTCCTGGTCCCGGTCCAGCCTGGGTGGCTCCGTCTGTGCGCCCGCAGCCGCGTACCCGCCGCTGATGCCGTTTGCCTTTAAGGTTTCTCACCCATTACAACAGCATGTAATTTAAACAGAAGCACTTTAGAAGTCAACTAATTAGCACCAGGGAGGCATCCCCCCGGAGTTCGGCGCAGAGCCGTGCCCTCCTTTCTGTTACGAGATCGTTCCAGCTGGAAATTACAGTGACTGCAGTTTTTAGGGAAAGCGAGAGGCTTCATCGCTGCGAGCCGGGGCAGAGCCGGAGCAGGGAGGGCAGAGCAGGCGCTAAAGCCAAATTGATAAAAAAAAGGAGGCACTCGGTAGATGGTAAACCTCCGCCCGGGACTGAGAGCGCGGTGGGGAGGCGAGGGCGAAGGGAGGCAGGGACTCAGCCCAGGTAAAGTTTGCCGGCGAGCCGGCCCATCTGGCCGCCGTCCCCGCGCACCGCGGGGGTGCCAAGTGGCAGGGGGGCACCGGCTGGCGCGCGCGGTTTGGTTGTTGGATCCGGCCGCGTCGTGGGCGTGAGCCGAGGCTGAGACTCAGCTGCATGAGGATCTGAAGCATCTCCCTTTTGTTCCCACCGCACCCTGACAAATGGGAAAGGACCGGAGCTTCTCTCGGCATTTTCGGTACGTCTCTCTGCTCCGCTCCTCCGCGCGGCGTGCATGGCGTTGGATGCGTTGGGAATGCCTCGCACCCCGGCAGACGTCCCCGCGACGTCTCTCCTGCCTCTCTGAGCTGCGGGGACCCTGCCTCCCGGTGCCGGTGTGGCCCTGCTGCCAACCCGCGCCCACCGCAGCGGCGGCACGAGGGTTGGGGGGAGCCGAGCAAAGCTCAGATGAAAAATTGGGGGTGGGGGGCTGGGGAGAGGTGGGAAGAGCACATCTAGGTCTGCTTTGTCTCCATGACTGTAGTCCACCAAAGGGATGGGCGGTGAGGACCAGGGTTTGGGGTACTGCGTGGTGCAGGGGGTGCAATGGAGCGAGGGCTGGGGACCCCTCGCTCCCAGCCCCAGCTGACTGCAAGCTCTGAGCAAACTTGGGGCTGCTTTCACCTGCTGCTGCTGGGGCCGGAGCCGCCGTTGCTGCCCTGCTCGAGGGGATGCATCCTGCACCGGCAAGTCTCAGCACCCAGCTCGGGGTGGGACCGTTCGGGTGAGCTCAGCGCCCATCGCAGGACCTGTGCCCTTGTGAAAGGTGGTTTTCCACGGCGCTGGGCTGGTGGGGGAGGCAGCTCTCAGCGAGCGCAGGCTACAGAAATGGGACTGTCCGCTCAGAGGTGAGCTGCAAGTGACCCGCCTGGGAGTTCTAAAAACAGTGAGTGTGACCGAGACCAAGATTTGCTAAACATCCTCTGCTGAAGTGAGCCCCAGAGCAGGGAGCCGAGCGGCTGGGGACGGGCGTGCTGGCAGACGGGCTCCTGCCAGGCGGTTTCCCACCCTCAGCAGTGTGCCGCCATCTCGGCCGGGCTGCTTTGGAGAGGGAGCGAAGGCGAAGCAGCCTGCAGCCCTTTGGGGCCTCTCCCGGCCTGGAAAACGCCCTGAATTCACAGTCCTGTTAGAGCAGACTGAGCGCTCCCGAACGCCGTGTGCCGACACCGCTGCAGAGGACGGTTAGTGCACTGGGGCTGGGGAGCAGAGGCAGGGCTGCAGTGCCCAGGGCTGGGGACGCCTTTCCCATCCCCTCTTCAACAGGGAACAGAGCCAGAGCTGACCTGGAGCATGAAAGAAGGAGGAGGAGGAAGCTGAAGACACGAGGTCAGCGCTGCACGGCTCCCAAGCCCTCCCACGGGCACGTGCAGCTTGCAGGGCTGCTGGGACAGGGGGTCTGCCCCTGGTCTCAGGCTGACCTCTGCAAACAGGGTGGGGGGCATCCGTGCTCCTTGCGCCTCAGTGGGACTTGCTGGGAGAGGGAAAACCCAGCTGGGTGCTGCTCCTCGGTGCCACACCGATGGGCAAGGCCAGTTTTATCCCGCGGTATAGCAGGGTGCTGCAGAAATAGTTGCGGTTTCCCACTAAGCACCGGGCACCATCTGCCCTGTGCTGGTGCCGGTGCCAATGCTGGTGCTGGTGCGTGCTGCGCGGGCAGCATTGTGCTGGAGCAGACGACAGGCTAAGGCGTCAACGCTGTCTAATGCCACCCCATGTGCTGCCTTTGGTGGGTCCCTTCATTAAGGACCAGACCTGAGCACGCACAGTTCGGAGGCCAGCACCCGCTGAACCGCAGGGCGTCGGGGAGCTCGGGGGATCCAGCCCCCAGCAGCGCTGCGGCACGGGGCCACCCTGGGCTCCCCGAGGCCGCACTGCAAATTCTCTCAAAGGGTTCTGCAGAAGGAAACTATTTTGCATGCTTTAATAGGGTTATTTTTACCAGTCACTTAGCTCCTCTCCTTGCTAAGACACTGTTTTACTTCTAGCACTGAGTCAATTCGTGGTGAAACCCTTAAAGCACGTCCTTGTGCCTGGTTACTGAGCTAGCCGTACTTTGCTCCTCAACCCTGATGTTTGCCAGCCTGCAGGCGAAGTAGCAGTCAGTGCAAAGTGGGACAGCCCTGCTGGAACGAGCAGGGCCAATTTAATTTGGCCAACTTAAATGGGAGCGTGCTTGTTTTGCCTGCAAGGAACCAGGACTTTTCCCAGGGCAGAGGCGTGGGGTCCTGCCGGGACTCGCTGCCATCGTGCCGTGTCTTCCCCTGCCACGGGGCTGCGGCAGCCTGCGTTCCCGCAGGAGCCTGCTTACAGCTGGATGAACTATTTATTAGCATGATTTCACTCTTTTCTAGTTGCTGCTAAATCACAAATTGACTGTGAATTGTACCAATGTGTTACTTATTTTAAATTATCACCAAATGCTTTGCATGAGCATATGTCAGCCTCGGGATGGCTTGCGATCTGCCTGCTCCTACTCAGCGTGAGCATCAGCTCTAATTTTGAGTTCTGCCTTTTGTTGGAGGGAAATAGAGATGTCCTGGTCCCGGTAGATTTGGGATTTGAAGCATCCCCCTCCTTCTCCTCTGGCTTCACCCAGGGTTTCGGGTTCCTTTGGCAAAGTTGCCCGAGGGATGGGGGAGACCCGCGGGAGCCCCCCACCAGCCGCAGGCTCTCCAGCCGCGCTTCGTTAGCAGCCGGCCATTGTCACAGCCATGTTGCGCTGGCAGCAGGAAGGTGCAGCCCCTTGGAGCAAGTTGCTCTGTGTCCTCTGACACCAGCTGCGAGTTTGGCCCGGTTAGTGCCCCCCGGGAGATGTGCTCCCCGGGCGGTTTGGAAGTGATGCTCGCATCCCTCCTCCGCCGCAAGTGTCGGAGTTTGTGTTAATGTAGGGAGCGCGTTCTCATGCGCCACGAGGTGAAGAGCACTAATGAACCTCACAAGATGGTATTGTCTAACGAGCAAATGCAGCTGCGACAGGCAGCCCGGTACGGGTGCAGGGAGGAGTTGCTATAGAAACACGCAGAGCTCCTCCAGAAGCCCCTAAATGTGCAAACGGGAGGGTAGGAGTAGGTGAGCGGGGTGTCAGCGTCTCACTGTTGCGATGGCAGAAGGAAAAGTAAAAGAAAAAGCGTTTCCCCGTGTTACAGGAGTGAACCCCCGGCCAGGGTGGGAGCGGTGCAGACGCACCCTCCTCGCTCCCTCCCGGGATCCCGCTTTGCGCTCGCTGTGCATCCCCCGAGGGTCCCGGGGGGTCCTTGCGGGGAGCACAAAGGCCACTTGGCTGCTGGCAGAGCAGCTCCTACCAGGCAGAGGGGAGGTGAACTGAAACGGAGCAAGTTCCCAGTGGTGTCCCCTTGCCTGCAGCGTCACTGTGCCCGTCCTTGTCCCCGCAACGCCAGCATGTCCCAAGGGGCGCGAGGCTCCTGCCTGGCAGTGGCAGGGGGGGGGGGGGTGGGGGG